TGATATAGGTCTTGCACAATACAATGGGTTTTGAAGACATTCCACAATGTAACTACACAAGATTTTATACAATTTCATACAATTCCCGAACCTATCCAAGATTGTATAAACGACATTTTTGTAGAATTTTTGTAGGTCCTGAAATCGCTAATGGTATTTAGTTTACGGCTCAAGAAAATAAGGACAAACTCTAGATGGAAGGAGCATATGTTTTACGAATATATTTCTCATTCGATTTGACTGAAAAAATGTCAAATCGAAATGTCCAAATATGTCCTTCTGGGTTTTTAATATACTCGACATTACAAAAATTTCCAAGCCTCAGACCGTGAGCTCCATTTTGTCGTATTTGTGCTATTAAATCGTACACTAAAATAAATCTATACCTATTAACTCTAAAATTTTATGATCAACTATTCTTAAAAATATAAAAATATGTTTTCCAAACAAAGATTATTTATTCTACCCCCTTTTAGATTTGTTGGAACTTTGTTAGAAAAGGGATATTATCTCCATTTCGTTAACATAGGCCTTTTAATTTTTTTGTCGCACTTACCTCTTGTATTGTATTTTCTGGCTTTTTTGTTGACATATTTAGGAAACGTTCCTGTGATTGGCAGAATTTCTCTGTTTTCTTATCGAACTTTTTCTTGTTCTCCTTGACGCCGCCGATTTGTTTTTTACGAAAATCCTCCAGAGGTTCAATGATATGTTCATCGGCTAATGTCAACTGCAAACAAGAAGAAGAAAAAAGAAAACAACCCATAAACATTTTTAATATTTCCCAATTTCGGCAAACAACTTACCATTTTCTCCCGTTCATCCTCTATCATACTGATAATATCACCAAATTGCTTTAGACTCTCACAGATGACCAATTCATCATCGGTTTGGGCCGTGCCGATGCACTCGAAATTGAATTCTTTTAATGAATATGCCAGCTGTTTCATGCGATTGGATAAGACTGTAATAAAAAAGTTGGGAAGAGGTGGGAGGAGAAGAAGAGAGAGAAAAATAAACATTAAATTAATGATTTTTGTTTTCAAGTTTTGTTGTATGACCAATTGGCCAAACATAACAATAACAACAATAATGGCAACGTCAATGGTCATATCTGTCCCAACAATCATTTTAAAATATGTCATAAATGCTGTCAGACTGTCGACATTCAATTACTACACATGGTAATTAGCATAATGTTGTATCGTATATGCCTGCTGGTGGTATTTATGCATATAAGTGTGTAATAAATAATTGTATTAAGTAATATTGTAAAAAAAAAAACAAAAAATTAACATTCCAACGCTGTAATTGTTGCAGTCCGAGTATTTTTTTATATTTTACATATTTTGTTGTTGTTAAGTGTAACGCTTAAACTAATTGAAAAATTATGTTAGGCAATAAATATTCAAACGGTTTCGAAATCATTTTGGAACAGCTGTTTTTATTTGTCTTTAAAAATAATTTACAGTTATGTTTCGAATATCGACATCTTATATAGGGCTTGTATAAACGATCGGAAATATTTAGAATAAATTCGAAAATCAGGATCCACTCTTTATCGTTCTTTATTATGGAAAATACTTCAGAAGTACCCGACACTTTCTCATAACTTACAATTTATATTTTTAGGGTTTATAGATATAAGGTTTTCTGAGCAAGAATCCGGTAAAAGTGTAAAAGGACTGTGAAAATATACGAGAACCAATTTCTTATCTGTGAGGACTCTATCTGAAATCTTATGAAGGAAATTTTTATAGAATATTTGGAGGTCAAAAAATCTTGTATTGTGGTATTTAGAAAAGAGGATGAAAAATAACCACAAGTACTCCAGATAGAAGGAATATATATTTTACAAATGTATTATAAATATCATGCAATATCCGCCAACAAAGATAAACCCTTTTGTTCATGAATTTAATAGTTGCCACTAATAAATTGCACCATAATTCAAAAACTTGACGAATTTTTGCTTCTGGGCTCTTTATAGCCTAGCCAATGGTTTTTGATCCAATAATAAATGTTCCACCCCAAGACTATGAGTACCTTTTTGTTGCATAGTGTTATTTACCACCCTTCTTGGAAAAATAGAAACCTTATGTCAGGTCCTAAAGTACAAATGTGCATTTTGTATGTCCTTACAGTCGCAGATCAATCTTAAAACCGATCGACCGTGTTTTAGATGGAAAATATACAAAAAATTGTAATTTTTAGGCTCCTTTCTTACCAGAAGCTCCTGGTAAGAAAGGACAGACAATACCAAACTACATTCAATTTATGAGAAACTTCGATTTCTATATGAAAAATTGGGTTGTGGCGATATATGGGGATATGTGCACGTGGATCCATATTGGATCCAGTTTACGAGAATTTTTATGTGTAAGATATATTAAAATACCAAGATTTTAAAGAAAATTCTGTTAAAAATTATAAACTTCTTAAGCCGCTCTTAATTTGGACAGTACACTTATTGTGACAAATATTGCATTCTGTTTGGGAGTGGATCTTCTATCGATATAGAATTTTAAGTATATATTAAAAAGAGGTGTTTATCTTTGGGGCAACTAGAATACTCAGTTCTATTCATATGAAATGTGCAAAATTTTCAAAATATTGGGATGTAACAAAAGGGATGGGAAGAAAAGACCCAACTTTAAACCTGATGGTCAACATTTTGAACATTTGTGGGAGTGAACCGATGAGTCCCATATTTACGCTTGGTCTGGGCTTGGTACAAATATTACCATGACAAAATTTGAATCAAATCGTATATTAATTTGTCTAAATACCAAATGTACAATTTTGACGGGAGATACCAGAAGACGTAGATCGATAGACAGTCTACAAACTTGATCAAAGTTCGAAAGGAATATAATGATGTTCAAATTTTGGAATTTTTGCATATTTACTAGCAAACAATATTTGATATTGTTGCGATGGCACGCTCATCCCCTACTTATGCTGACAAGGTCGATCATTTGGTCTCCGACCAAGATCCACCAAAATGTATTCCCGACAAGCATTATAACAATTTCCGCAAATCCAATCGCCAGAAACCACCGGCTTCGGATAACAAAACTAGAATGTGATAATTATTTTCTGGACACAAGGGGTCTGAGGTGATCAATTTGGAGACGGCAAAGTATATTTTTATACATAAATAATTACTTTTTTGAAATTTTTAATTTTTTAATTTTTTACTCTAGTATATATTTATATATTATTTTATATTTTTAGATTTGTATTAGAAACATTGAGAGTGAATTTACCTACATTCTTTCAAGCTTCCAATTCCATTCAAATTTTATTTTCATACCATTAATATCAAATTGGCATATAAAAGCCCCACAGTTTACAACCCATTGTGCAGAGTTAGTCATTATTTTTTTATTCAATCAAATTAAACGAAACGAAAATAAAATAAAAACAACTAATTAATTTACGATATGATAGGTAATTTAACGATAAATGTCTTGCCACAAGAGATGAGCGTAAAATATGCAATTGAATATTATTACTTGGTGGTCGTAAAAATAAACAATAACAACATAAATGCCATTAACTAGAAATAAAAACACAAACAATAATTAATTTGCCAAACTCTTTCCTTTGTCGAGGGAAGGGCGAATGACGAGAAATTGTTTAGAAATTCCACAAAACAAACCCCAATTTGAATAGAACAAGCGGCACAGAAGAAAAACAATAAACCCCTACAGCAAAAGAGTTGCAAAGTCAATGACATAATAAACTTCAATTTTTATGAATTTCCAAATAAAATAAAAACAAACAACTACATGTTTAAATTCTACACAGTAGATGGATAAGGGCAGCATAAAGTCCATCCATATATCTATCTCTTCATAAGTGAAACGAGAAGCGAGAATCTATTACTCAGTATCTAAATTGCGATCATAACAGTGTGAGATCACAACTGTGTTTTCAGTGGACTATATTGAGGTGTGGCTCAAATTGGTTTGCCACAAAGAGGGTAGAATTATTTAAATTAGTTAGATAATGGTATTTGGATTTGGAATTTTAAAAGTGTTCCAATAGATGATTATTACTTTTATAAGTTTGTGGATCCGGATTCCGGTTATTGACGTATTTGACATAATGATATATATTTATGGTAATCTACGATGTATGCTAAATTTATTAGATTTCGTAGGTATAAGGTTTTCTCTGTAAGGGTAAGGTAAACGCGGAAATTGACGATGAAGGCATACAAATTCCGATTTCTTGTCTTTGAGGACCCTATCTAAAATTCTATGAGCGCAATTTTTGTAGTATATTAGGATGGCAAATAAACTCCTATTGTGGTATTTAGTTTACGGTTAAAAAAATAATGACGAAAAGTATACAGAAGGGCTCGAAATCATACAAATACCTTGCATTACGCCATAACTTAAAAACTTTACCTATAGCGAATTTGTCCCTCTGCGTTCTTAATATACTCGTCTAGAGCTTTGTTGCAAGAGCGTCAATTCGAATAAAGCAGTTGGCCGATCAATTGATAGAATGACTTGTCGTACCGTCCTGTTGAAACCACATGTATGTTGACAGACCCATTGAACTGAAAACATAATTTTTATACCCTTCTCCATGAGCTGGATATTAAATGTTCTTAAAATCGATTGAAACTTTTGTAAGTGGCTATGCCATGGAAATTGCTGCCAGGAGAAAACGAAATACTACAGACACTCAGGTTGGATAATATGGGGGCTCAGGTGAATATTTTGAGGTGTTTCAAAATGAATGGTTCCATAATCATGGCCCCCATTTATTTAAAAGCCCTAATAGAAAGTGTACGTCGCTTCAAAGACACCATCGCACTTTATTCTTGTGTCAGCTTTATCGTCTGAGGTTGCGAACCAAGATCCTTACACAAACTTCGCCATTATGTGGTCTGGACGCTGCCAAATTCTTGAGAACGCCCTGGAGTTGATGATTTTCTCCGGACGCCTGAACAGAAGTGATTTTCTCCGGACGCCTGAACATTACGACCAAATGTCGGAGTTTCGAATTTATCCGAAACAAACAGAAGTTGTTCGTATGAGTATTTGACCATAATAAAAATGTTAAATTTATAGAATAACTTTAGTGTAAGGATGCGTTCGCAAATAAATTCAATATTGTCAAATCCCTATTTGAAACTCCTATGTCTTCATCGTAACTCAACAAATGTTATGCTGACCAAACTTTGCAGAAATCCCTCGATTTTTACACTTCAATACAACATACGAGGAAACAATTGTATCAAATCTTCAATTAAACAAAAAAAAAAAAAAAAAGACCGCAGAAATACAAATAATAAAGACAACCTTACAGCAATTAAAATACAAAAACAAAAAAAACAATATCTTAATTCTTTTGAGAGAACAGAACATGAAATAGAAGAAGAACATGAACAATTTGGTCCGTTTTTTCTTTTATTATTTTCATTTCAATTACATAAAAGCTGAACTGAAAAAATATGATGTACGTCGTCATTTAGACAGCAAGCTAAATTTAACAAAAAATAAAAAAATGAGAAAAAACAAGACAGCGATGATGACTTATCAACGTTCGAAAAACAGAAAACGAAGAAATGAAAAACAGAACAAACAAAAGAAGCCAAACTTTAAATGGAAGCTGGGTAACCCACCATTAACAGCAGCAGAACATCATGTGAATTTGAGAGTGTATGTGTGTATGATGTATAGTCATCGTTTTTAGCTCTGCTGACCCAATTCCATCGTTTTGATTTTTGTTGTTAAATTTTTTTCTTAATTTGGGCTTCGAAATATTTGTTTGTTAGTTTCGCTTGAGTTGAGTTTTTGACTTTTTATTGTCACGTTTTTACAAGAGATTCTCCGGTGTAGGAAGATTTTGTTAAACTTGGGGATATGAGAGTAAAATTAACAATTTGAAATCTTTTGATATACTTTTTGATATTGTCGGAGGAGCTCTATAAAATGTTGGACA